GTAGGTGGGCGGGTGTCTGTGTGTTTGTTTGTTACAGGGTAATTGGGTGTAGGTGCATGCAAGGTTTGTGTAGGTGTGTATTTGTCTGTGACGTGTTATACCTCGTGTATTTGTGTGTGTGTATGTGTTAGTTTCTCGTGTGTGTGTGTATGTCTGTGTATATGTGTGTGTGCGTTAGTTTCTCGTGTGTGTGTGTATGTGTGTGTTTATGTATCCGTATATAAGGTTAGCCTATCTATTGGTGTCTGCGTGTGTGTCTGCATATGTGTGTGACTAAATTGTGTGCGTATTTTGTATGCGTGTTTACATATCGTGAGTAACTTATATGTGCGTGTTTCCATGTGTCAGTCGTCCTCTCCTAACTTTCAGCACGTTCAGGTTTATGCCAAAAAAAGTATGCTCCCAGAAACAGCTGCAAATACATATGCAAAAGTACCGAAACGTTTGAATTGTTAGACTTTTAAATGAAAAAGTAAAAGGTTGCTGACTTTCCCCTCTCCAGATTATACAGGCATAGAGTCAAAATTCTAAATTTATTCGCTTTTTACTCGTTCGTTTCGTTCTTTTTTTTCTATTGCTGTTATCTATAAAAGTTTTTGGTGGATTTTTTCAGGCATTCTATTAATAATTCACGGTTGGAGTATAGCTTAACTATGACATCAAAGAAAACGAGTTATATTTGGCAATTTTAAAGGGTAGACTCAAATAAAACTTCCAAAACTGGACATCAGAAAATTGTGATGGATTTTCCATCCTCACAGCCTTCCAAAACGACAAGCAAACCGTAACCGATAACAAAACAACAGAACTAGATATATCAAAAGAGAATAACAAGCTTTTATTATCCTAAAAGCTTCGAAATCCAAACTTCAGATCCGTCGGTGGCGCTTTGGGCATATGCCAGCCAGGCTACGAAACGAAGCCAGGGCTGTCCGAATTCCTCGTGCCTTGTGTGGATGGCAAGTGGATACATCCGAAGGGAGAGGATGGGTCCCCTCTTAAGTGCAACCCTACGTGCTTCCCGCCGTGCCTTAATGGGGGTACGTGCACAGCTCCTGGAAAGTGTACATGTGTAGAAGGTACGATTGGATGCCGCTGTCAGCACTTCGAAGTGGGCGATGTGGAGTGTGGAGCGCCCGAGGCGTCTGAAGGGGCAGAGCTGATCAAGTGGAGGTAAGAGAAGTGGAGTATTTCACTTGATTATCTATGTATTTATATTATTTTTGCTATCTTGTCGTGGATAGTATGTGAAACAATGACAAAAGCAAAGTCCCGAGTGCGCTTTCTTTATTCTTATCATTGTTATTATTATCATCATTATCATTATTACTACTACTGCAACTGCTACTATTATTGTTATTATCATTACTTAGCGATAACTCACATTGTCTTTCTCTGTCTGCCTCCCTCCCTCCTTACTTTCCCCGTTAATCCCTCATTTCTCCTACCCCCTCCCTTCTTCCGCTATCCTCCCTCTCTCTCCCTCCCTTCTTCCCTATCCTCCCTCTCTCTCCCTCCCTTCTTCTCTATCCTCCCTCCCTTCTTCCCTATCCTCCCTCCCTCTCTCTCCCCTCCTTTTTACCCTCCTCTCCCTTTATCCCTCCTTTCCTCTCTCTCCCTCCCACCCATCCTCCCTCCCTTCTTCTCCCCCTCCCCATCCTTCCTCCTTCTTTCCCTCTCTCTCCACAGCAATGATATGTACGGCCTAAGATGTACCGGCAACCAGGTGTTCCCGGGACGTTCCGTAGGAGCCACAGCCATCCTCGTCTGTTCAAACGGTGCCTGGGTATCTCCTGAAGAAGGTCTCGACTCCTCGACCTTAGACTGCGGACCCTTCTGCGAAAGGCCGTGCAGGTAGGTCGGGCAGGAGAGGGAGGAAGGGCAGGAGAAGGGGCAGGAGAAGGAAGGGCAGGAAGGGGAGGAGGGAGGGGGAAAGCGTGGGGAGGGAAGGTGGGAGATGGAAGAGGGTGGAAGGGGCAGGGGGTGGAGGGTGAAAGAGAGAGGGAAAAGGTGGTGGGAGTGAGGGGGGAAGAGGGAGTGAGAAATGGAGAAGGACTGGGTGTAAAGAGAAAGAGAAGGAGAGTGTGAAAGGGAATAAGAGTGGGATGGAGAGAGGGATTAGGTGGAGAGAAAGGAAGAGGAAAAGAGAGTAGAGGGAGATGAAGAGAGGAGGGGAGGAAGGTAGACGGGTAAGAGCAGTGGTCCCCGACCTTTTTCATTCCGCGACCAATACGTAATAATCTCCAAGCCATGTTCAGTGTCTGTCACATTTTCAGATTCAGTCATTACTAGTTATGAATAGTTTAATAGTGTTAGTAGCATCAGGACAAGAACGCTTTATGGAAAGACTCCAATTTAATATGTGATAATGATAGTTAAATATATTTACTGTAGGTGAAATAAAAGTTTACTTCGTCATGATTTTCATATTACTCCATGCCCCCCCCCCAGAAAGTACTCCCGTAGCCCCAGGGTAGGAATTAAGGATTATGTGGTAATCAGGATGAAAAAGAAAAAAGATGACATGTCTTTTTTTTTTTTTAAGGTCTGATTGCGTGTATATGAACACTCTCGGTTGGATGTGTATGCGTGGGCTTTACCTTTTTTGTGTATACTGGGCGTATGTGTTTGTGTTTTGGAGTCCAATACAGTGAAATTTCGGGAGGCGAAATATATGTGCGTGTGTATACCTACAGAACGCGCATGTTTACATAATAATCTCCCGTGCACCATAAATGTAATTGCAAATATTCACTCACCCTTACACACACACCCGCGCACACGCACGTACGCACTCACACACACACACACACACACACACACCACACACACACACACACACACACACACACACACACACACACACACACACACACACACCGATGCGCGCCCGCACTCTTTCACACACACACATCGATGCGCGCACGCACTTTCACACACATTTACAAACGCACGCATACACAAATACGCACACACACACAAATATGGTGAGCACATGGCAATAGTCCTACGCATACACAAATACGCGCGCATCCACACACAAGTATACTAGATAAAGGCCTATCCAAACTATTTTGTTACCCCATATCACCGCGGCCGAGTGGGTTAGGGCGCCAGCTTAGAGTCCGCGATCGCGAGTTCGAATCCGCAACGGGGCCTCGGAATGCCACCTCGTCCGGTTCTGAAACATGTGGAAAGCGCCCGGGCGGAAGAAAGCAAGCCATCCAGATTGCAGTCAGTTTCTCCCTGTTATGTATTTAGTGTCTGTCCTTCTAAGCTGAACCATGTGTTGCTGATAGGTAAAAATAAATAAGAAAGAAATAAAACACAAAAAATAAATAAACTGAAAATAAAAATCCTCGTGTAGGACGTCAAAACAAGTCTTCATTCGGCAGTTATGCTTTCGCTAAAAGAGCTTATTCTGGAAAGCAACATTTGCGAGAATTATAGTCTGAAACAGCACTCGAGTAGAGGAAATGGTCCATAACTAGATGGCTCGTCAGCTATTTTTGCCGTTTAAGAATTGCGAGTTTTAACCGACCAATATATAATGATCTCCTTGGCCCTGTTATGTATCTGTCATCTTTCTAGATTCAGTTATTTCTAGTTAGTGATAGTGTTATGCTGCCAATACCTATAAAACAGGAACACTAAATGAAGATTCCAATTTGTTGATATGTGAGTGAAAATTATCTGTAGGAACTATAGGTGAGACAAAATCCAGTTTGATTCCAAGTCATAATTTTCATACTGCTCCTTGCCCCCCCCCCCCCCACACACACACCCCGAAAATATCCCATGACCCCTTGAGAGGGCCATGGCTCAGAGGTTGGGGGTAGGGCGTGAGGAGAAGGGGAGGGACTAAGAGTGGGAAGGAAAGAGTGATTAGGTGGAGAGAGAGGAAGAGGAAAAGAGTGGAAGAGAGGGAGAGGATGAGTATGGAGGGAGGAAGGGGCGGGAAGAGGGAGAATTAAAAGGAGACATAGATGAATGGTTCTGAGAAAGATGAAAGGGGGAGGGAGATTTAAAAGGAGGAGGGGAAGGTGGTAGAGAGAGGGAAAGAGAGAGAATTAAGAAAAAAAAGAAGAGAGGGAAAGGGAGAAGATTTGGGGGGAAAGAGGTTAAAGAAAAGGAAACAGAGATAGGGGATTAAACGAGAGGGATAGCATTGTAAGAAGAATAATCATAAAAATAATCAAAATGATAAGCATCATCATCATCACACGCCATTTTAAGACCAATATCACAGTTTATTGGTTTTCAGTGATTTTCAATTTAACAGCATATCAAAAGTAAGAGTCATTATTTCTTTTCCTTCTTTTTATTAATTATAAATATCTAGCCAGAAGCAATTCCCTACTATTTTCTATAGCTTAACCTGTATTACGATTGTAATTAGCAATAATTCTAAATAAAGAACGGAACATTCTGTTTTCCATTTCATTATCAATTTTGCAAAATTGACAGTTCTTTACATAATCAATTACTTCCTATGATAATGATTGTAACAATATAAACAGTAATGATAATAATAATAATGATAATGATATTGACAAAGATAATAGTAATGATGATAATGATAATGATATTGACAACGATAATAGTAATGATGATAATGGCAATGATAATAATAACAATAACAATAATGAAAATAACAATAATGATAATAACAATAATGATCATGATAACAATACTAAAAATGGTAGTATTGCTAGTATAAACAATAATAACAATGATGACGATAATGATAATTATACTACTACTACTGTATCTACTACTGGTAATGATAACAGCGGCAATAAGATATCATCATTAGTGATGATAGTAATAATGATAACAATTATAATGCTATAGTTGATAATGACAATGAAACTGATAATGATGATAATGATATTAATATCAAGAAGAAGAAGGAGAAGAATGGTGATTATTATTATGATAGTAGAAATAATGATAATAATAGTTATGATTATTATCATCCGATGATAATAGTGATGAAA